ATGTTATCTCTCCCGAAAGTGTGAGAATGAATCCAGAAAAAGTGTCACCAGTTAAAGCCTAGGAGACGTTCCTAAAATGTCCATTGGGTGAAAAGTTTTTGGGGCTTTTAACCTACTATGGGAGATTTGTGAAGGACTTTTCTTCCATCACAAGACGCTTTGACAAGCTGGGAAAGAGCTAGCAAATGTTCTACTGAACCAAAGAATTTGAGGACGCAGTTTAAAAACTGAAGGAGGCTTTAATCTCTGTAAAACAGTGCTGACGTGTCTTGAGCTGGATAAACAATTTATTATTGACACGGGATGAGAGCAACGAAATTGTCGATGGTGTTTTGTCCCAAACTTTTGATTTTTCAACCCACGCTTTTTTACCAGAATGAAATTTCAGTTTCGCGCATTATGCAGATTAGGGTAGAAAGCTACTATTTAAGTCGGTGTGTGAGTTACTTCAGATAGAGCGTGTTTTGCCTTTCTGCATGTTGTTTCTGTGCTAGTTAGGCTTGCTTTTTTACAGCCATGCATACTGATTGGCGGTTAGTATACGTTGGTATTAGCCGAGAGCCAGCTACCCGGGAAATTATATCTGTACGGCTTCGGCTGATTTATTCAACTTAGGATTAGTTTTAATGTTACGTTTTCTGTTTTGAGTCGTCGTCAAAGGTAGTGGCGAGGCCCTGTAGGCACCAGGAGTGCCATCTGTATATATTGTTCTTGAGTTGAGTAAAAAGGTCTTTTCACCATTTTACGTGTGGTTACTGACGCAGTTGAACTTAGCGAATAGCCTCTTCACAGTTCAAGTAAAGATCTAACCTCTAAATGACTTTAAATTAGCCAGACTCTTACAAACTTATTTGCGCTATCTATAATACAGTTTGATAGAATACATAGCGCAAATAAGTTTGCGCTAGATCATTACAGTTTGATATGACAAATATATTGATATCAAGTAAAAACAGCTCCCACAAATGGACGTATTTCTAAATAATGTATTTTGACGTTTGCAGCGAAAAAAATTATAATATTTCCTATTTGTAAGTCCTATTCTACTATATAAGCCTATACCTGATATTTGTTATCCGTTAATTTTCTTACACTGTGAAACGAGCGAATCCATCAAATATTCAAATTAATATTTTTAAAATTCAAAATGTTAATTGCACGTAAATTATGAATAAAAAATAAATAAGTAAAAAACAGTAAAAATAAAATTTTGTACGCTGAATACATATTAAACTCGTGCATATGCGTAATTTGTTTACTAAGTAGATTCTGCTAAGATTCTGAATTTTTAACAATTAATTTCATTAAAATGCAAACTAAGGAGAAAATCGTACAAATATTTCTTTTTTCTTTAAACAAATTACACTCACCCTTGCCATTTAATGAAACCAATTTTTATTATTAAATTTTAGAGTTGTTATTATTTTGCATTAAATAATTATTTATAATTTCATATTTACTATTACTTCTCCTTTCCGTTTCTTCACTAGATTGCAAATCAGTTACAGAGCAGAGAGTTTTGGATTGCAAGACAGAGCGCGTTTCTGCCTCTGGAGGCCACGCTACTAGGTTTCAACAGCTCTAATAAGATTGAAATTCTTCGGGTCTAATTTATTGCTGCCGACATTTAAACGCCGGTGAGAAATTTTGAGCCAGCTTCGCTTTAAACCAGTTGCGTGTTCTTGGACTACTAAGTTTAAATTTGAATTTGACTGTTATTTGAAGTTTCACCGCCATAAGTGGTGATTTATTTGTAAGTACGAGACGTACATTTTATGTTCAAGTTCTGATTTAATAAAAGAGTTGTTATAAACCTTTTTAAGGCTTTGTTGTTACTTCAGACCAAGCAGTAATTCGCTCCAACTCTGTTAGGAGTTTGATGCTAGGTTATGCTACCAAAGAACATCATACTCTACAAAACACAATTCAAAAATAAAGAAATACATAAACTAGTGATCGCCAAATTGTTTTCCGCAGGGGAAGGTACAGTTTTATATCTCATGTTCTACTTGGTTGAATGACAAAATTCAATTTTTGTTTTTTAAGTCGCAAAAGAGCGACTTAGAATGTATAGTAGATTTTTATATAACGTTGTTTTAACAAATGTATTTTAACACAAAATCTTACTTTTTCTGAAATGACATAGTAATTTTTTTCCGTATTTCGATTCTACGGCTCAAATTATGTCTAAATACCAACTTTTTTAAATTACGGTGAGCAGTGGCGTAGCTAGGGTGGGGCAAGGGAGGACATCTGTCCCCGGGCGCAGCATTCAAGGGGCGCCAAATTAATGCTACGAAATTTTTTAAGGAAATGTTTTCCATTCTTGGCACACAGAAAGGGGCGCGAATTCTTCAGTTGTCCCCGGGCGCTGGATACTCTAGCTACGCTCCTGACGGTGAGAAACTTAAGTCACTTTAGAATTCAGCTTTCAGCACTTTTTTGTTTTCTAATAATTTACGGCAACCTATTGACATTTCCCTTTCATGCTGCACGAACGGAAAAAGGGTAACATTATATTTTTAAATATATTTTTTCCCTTTTTATGGTTTTATTTTAATTGTTTCATTTGTATGGTTGAATTACATTTTTGAAATAATTATTTAAAAAATTTCTAGTTCATTTGAAATGTGTATTTTAAGTATATTTATTAATATAAAAGTTTTGAGAATTTGACTTTATTTATTTGACCTGCATTTCTTTCGAAAGAATATTTTGTCACCAAGTACAATCCACGATGCATTTGAAAACTGCTTGTATTAAAGGAGGAAATACAGTAAAGCACAGTCAGTACATCTGTGACGAGGTCACATTGAATTAATTATTTACTACGTTATGGCAATATTTAGATATTTGCATCAGATTCCTTTGGTGACAGTTTCATTTTTTTCGCCAACTTGTGTTGTAAGGTGAGAAAACAGATTTCATCAGACAACTGTTGTAAGCGGAAGAAAGTATTGCGTCAGACAACTAGCGTCTTCACTTCTGTTTGCCTGGGTAGCTGAAGGTATTTTGCGATTGGTTGCCTTCTGACGCTGGATTTTTTTTCATTGGGCGGCAAAACGTAACTGTGGAACTTTATAAAAGGCGGTATTTTTTGTCTACCAGGAGGGGGACGAGAAGGAGGAGATTGTGAAGGTGCGAGGTGGAGATGCTGCATAGAGAAAGACAGTAAGAGTGGGGTAAAATGCAAACTTTTGGGAGTTTATCGTGCAAGCTTTCTTTGGTCTCCCAGTATGTATGAAAGAAGCGAGTTTCTTTCTCTTTGATGTTGTAGCTGCAAAATTTAAGCTAACCTCCTTTTTCCCGGGCTTGGCATTTTCGCCCGGCATAATCTTTACCACAACATCCTTCAATGGGCCATTCAGAAAGGATATGCAAATGAGAAAGAACTATAATAGACTTTTTAATTTAGGAGGAGATGCGCATATTGCTTTACACAATTTTGCATTTTTTACGCAGTTTTATCCATGGCTTTACACATCTTTACATTTATAATCCTACTTCAAGTTTGTTTCCCTAATTCGAGTTCACCAAACTGCAAATACATCCTTAAAAATCTCCAGACTTTTAGAAATAACTTCCGTCCGCCATAAAAACAGAAATGGGTAACACTGCGCATCCTATCAAACGAATACGGTGCGCGATTGAATTTGTTATAAGTTCATTCGATCAGAGAAGTATTCAGAGAGCCAATAATCTATTTTTAAAGTTTATTTTAACTAACAGGCTATTTTTTTACATCAAATCTGTCCCGTACTTCTACTTTGTTCTTCAGCCTCACCAGACATATCAATTAGGCAGGTTTTAAATAGCGAGCGTTTAGTTTAGGTAAGGAACAGAAATGTTGGCAAATTAGCAGGTCGCATTGTATTTCTCGCAATTTACCTACGTGGTTAGCTCGGCTGGTTTTTACGAGATTCTAAAGGTATCTTCTTTTTCTTTACCCCGCGCCTTCGTGGAAGCAAAACCGCGTAGTTGTTAGGAAGGGTCCCAGGGAGGCCAAAGTACATTTTTCTTGTATCCAGCTTTGAAATAAAACCGATGATTCTACAAAGGCGTCCGAACTAAAATGTGACGGACGGCAGTTCGTCACTACCAGGATTTGGCGATAGGGTCCCTTCCTCACCAGTTGCTTTTTAAGTGGGAGAGAAGTTAAGGCATTTTCTCCTTCCTTACCGAGTGCCTATGTGGTGTAATTGAAAGAACATTCGGGTAGCAGTCAGGAGGTGCAGAATTGAATCCCGAAATGCCGATGAGGACATTGCTCAATTTTTATGTTTTCTGCTTTGAAATAAAGCTGATGGCTCGGAAAAAAAAAAAAAATTCCCTCATCGCTGTTATTGATTTTTTGAAGACATACATGATTGAGAACTGGGTTATTAGTACTTAATTTATTATTTATTTTTCACATATTTAGTTTGTATTCCCAGCCAGGAAGCAGCAATGATTTAGCCCGATTAATTCTTGCAGTAGAAACTATAAGTTCATAGTAAAAAAAACTTTTAATATGGCTTTGCTCTAGTGGTATTCAATTAGTGTTTGAACCTTAACTGAAAGGAATAAACATAAGTCATCTGTAACTTAGAAAGCTTAAACGCGGTTCGCTTTAAGTGCTTCCCTTAAGTTAAATTAGATTAAATCTTAGATGCTGATCTGTTTGGAATTTTTTTACCTCAGTTTTTTGTTCAGAGCGTTTACAAAGTATGTTTACAGATTGTGCGTGATCATGATCGTTATTTTTCGCAGCACTATTTAGAGCAACATTGAAGTAAAAAACTTGAGTGGGACGGGCGCTTAGCATCAACCAAATAAACAATTATTGATGGGTGATTCTATGGCAGAGTCGTTTCCCTAGGAACCACACTGTCTTTTTCAAACCAGAGCAAACATTTGGCAATAACGGCAATCCGCATTGTCACGAAACAAGAACTAATCGATGCATTGCCGGATTCCTGTGGACCGCTGGCAGAAAAGACCTCGAGCTCCTAGGACAGGCAATGGAGAGGAAAACAGGTAAATATCGCTTTGCAGTTTTTTGAGCATGCTTCTGTCACTTTATATCTCAGCTAACGCTTGCCATTTGTGAAAATTTGAGGGAACTGTAATCTGACATTTGTAAATACCACTTTACAATCTTCGTTCGGTTTCTAACTCGGTTAATACTTGCTGTTTATATAAAATTTGAGCGCAATATAACCTAATTTCGTAAACATCCCTTTGAAATTTTTAGAGTATATTTCTGTTAGTTCCTATAACGGCTGATACTTATTTTATATATAAAATCTAAGGGCACTGCAATGTAACCTTCACAAATATCTCTGATCAATTTTCTATTGAGTTTCTGTTTCGGCTAATATTTGTTATTTATACAAAAATAGAAGGGATTGCAATTTGGTAAATACTGCTTTGCAAGTTTCTGCCACGTTTTATTTCGGCCAGTATTTTACATTTATATAAATGACATTAATTTAAATGTATGCTACTTATATAAAATAAGACATAATTGTGACTGGCTATGATAAGCTGTGAAATTATTGTGTAATAGCGGGGAATGGAGCGCTTTATCATAATGAGAAAAACGCCTCTAATGTAATATTTGTAGTACAAGATATCTTGTACTGGTCCACTTCATAATTGCTAACTCTTATGTTTTTTGTAAACCAAGAGTATATTTCTGTACAAGAATAAAACACAGTACTCGGATGTCTTGTATGGAGGTGGAGTCTTGAGGTATTTTTGTGGGATAGTAAATTCTCGACATTGTCCTTCTTATAAACAGGAAGCGTTTTGATAGGGCAATAAAAAAAATATGAGATGTTTTTATCATAGAGGACAAACTCTGTTCATATGATTCTGGATAGAGCTGTTCATTTTCTGCGTGTCATTTTAGTCCATATAATTTAAATCACAACCGCTATTTGTTTTCATTTTATTTGCTATCTATATACAATAATGTATTGCATTGATTCGAGCGCAAAATGGTCTTAGGTATATTAAGACAGTTCTTATTTCTGAAGGTGATTTTGTTAGGGAAGAAAAAGCTTGAATATAAAGCAGTTTTACATATTCGAACTAAATCATTTGAAGATTTTAACTGTTAACTAACATTATATCTATAGGTAAATTAAGCATACGTGTTTTCGTTTTATGATAAAAATTACAGTGATAAATAATTTTAAAACTTTTTTATGTATTAAGGGCTCATATATGCGTCGGATATGCTTCGCTAAAGGGCATTTTAAGTGCAAAAAATACTCTCAGTCTAAAATTTCGGATTAAGATTTAATAACCTAAAAAGGTAATTTCATTATTAAAACTGTCGCATTATGCGGGTTAAGGACTGAAGTGCCCTGAAAATAAACTGTTTAAAGTAATCAAAGAATGCAAGTTATTTGCTCTACAGGTCTGAAACTTTCTTGAAGGTATAAGGTCTTTGCTAGGTCAATGCTCATGGTTCATCGAGTTTCCAATCTTACAACTATGGAAAGTTATTCAGAAAAGAACAAACAGAGTTTAACGAATATAAAGTAAAAATTGATATAAAGTTTACATAAATTTTGCAGAGTAGAAGAATTAGAAATATGAGGAAATAGAAATTTGCAAATGGAACCACTTAAGCTGTAAGGATCCTAAGTTTTACTAACGTTTATTTTATTTTAAAACTGTACTATCACTTCTTATTTTCTACTTCCGGCCAGAATTAAATGCTTTAACTTGTTTATGCAAATTGTCTTGCTAACGCTAAGTGCTTAAGTTGTGGCTTTTTGCCAAGAGAGAGAGAGGAAGGAGTTATAGGAAGAAAGCCGCTTGCGACTGTAGTTTACGAGTTTTCACTCTGGTTGCTGTGATTGCATTTAAGGCCAGAGGTTTAGCCCTTCTTGTTATTTGCAGACGTATTGTAGTTTCAGCAGCTCGGCGTACTGCATACGTACCCTTTCTTTAAATAAAGGCCAATCTTAGTGCTCTAGGCATTTGTATACTTAATTCAAAGTTAGCTTTTTAGTTAGAGTTCTAGTCAGTAGTTTTATATTCTTACGTTCAAACCACAAGTTGGTTGGTTTCTGTATCCCGAAGTTCGGGAAGGGCCTGTAAAGTATAGAAAATAAAGGGCTTTCGTATACCCTTCCTGCTTGTATTGTCGTACTGTCATACATAAATCTTGAACATAGCTTGAGTAAGCTACCTGTTCCTATTCAGGACCATTCATGTTTCCAAAGCAAATCAAGAGGAATACAAGTCCTGATAAAGCAACTGAATTTAAAGGCAGTACATTAAATTACTAAAGAATGGGAAACGAAAGTAGGTGATAAAACTAGGGGGAGGAGCTATTAGACACAGAACTCGGTTATCCCTAAAGCTGCGGCAGCGATCGGGATCCCACTTAGCATAGTAGGCGATATTTGGTAAATTTATATTTATTTTTGTGAATTTTGATATGATAAGGTCCCGAGCCAGTGATTATATTACCGCGATTCTAGAGTGGCTAGAGGTAAACATAAAACGTACAAACGCACAACAGAAGCAACATTAAGAAAAAGTTTCATAGTCGTACAGAAACCAATGCACTAAAATAGCCTTACAGTATATGAATATCATAGAAATGTAGTAAAAAAAAATAGCAGGGGATTAAACAACATAATTATTGTTGAGAAAAAAAAAGAAAGAAAACAACATAATTATTGCTCCAATAATTATTGTTGAGAAAGATGATTTGAAAATTTGGAGAGTGATGAGTACAGAAACATCTATTTGGCACTGATAATCATGACAATGGGATAAATGTGATGATCAAAGATAAATAAAATGTCAGAAACTAAAATTCGGGTCTAAAAGAGCTCAGGACTAGAGTTTTCTCTGGCCATGAGACTTATTTTCTTAGAACAAAATTTTTAATACTAAGTAAAAGCAACACCTTTTGAGGAGTTAAAAAAGTTTAATTTATATACCGGTTAATATAGTACACTTTTTACTAATTTTTATTCATGAAATTCCAGTTCTAATCTCAAAATCTTTTATTAATTTGCAGTGCCAAAATCGACTCTGAAAGTGCCCATAAACAGACGCAAACTGAAAGAAACTGAAAAGGCTCGTCGAGTAACTTTTTACCGAAATGGTGACTATTTTGATGCAGGAGTCAAAGTTGCCCTCAGAGGATCTAGACCATTTCCCACTTTGCCTCACCTTCTTGATTACCTCAGCCAAAAGTCGCGCATGCCTGCCAAGAAGCTTTTTGCGGCTACAGATGGCCGTCCGATTAAATCCCTGGAGCAACTGGAAGATGGTGCATTTTATGTCATATCTTCAGATGGAAAATTCGAGTCTTTGCCGTATGGCTCAGTGCCCCCACCGAAAACGTCACATGTCGCTGATGCACTGCCAGTCAGACAAGAAGATTTACAATTGTTTCGCCCGGCGTCACGAACTCTTGGGAAGAAGAAAAAGAAGAAAAAGAAAGAAATTGAACAATTGGTAATGTATTGAACAAATCCAAATTTTTAAAGATAAAACAATAAGAAATTCATCATCTTGTAATGTTTGGCCTCAGCTAATATCCCCTTATCCTTACCTTGCCTCATAAACAAGTGCGACAACACCTACTATGAGAAAACAATGCCTTATGAGTTGTTAGAAAACTTTAAAACTTTATCTCATATACGGGCTAACATAATGCAAGTTTTATTTTAGTTTTGTATATAAAATTCAGATTACATCCTCGAAATGTTTATTACTTTTCAGTGCTAATATCAGCTCCAGCAGTCCCATAACAAAACGAAAGCTGAAAATGTAGGCAGGCTAGAATATGTGCCTGGTACTCATTCATTTTGACTTACTTATACGCATTTAATCTCATTAAAAATTAAGCAACCTTATCTTGCATCTCTAAATCGAAATTCTACTTGAAGTTATCTTAATTGCTTTACTAATTTAGGATACGCAATTATCAAGCCGAATTACCGGATCAAGAGGAACAAGATTTTACAACAAGTTAATTAAATTAAAAATTTAGCAAGAGGTTTAACCTTTTGAGACCGGGGCTTTGGTAGCAGTAAAAGCTACTAAAGGACGGAGAATCTTGAACCGAATGCTTTCCCCCCTTTAAGAAATCACCTCCTATTTGCAACAAAGATTTTAGCTTTTTAGTTTTAGTTTAAACGCCTTCATGCCAGTTAACAGATAAAAACACTACGAAGACCTAACCAAATGGTTTCATCATCTTTTACGCAAAGGAGTTACAGTCTTTGGGATAAGTTCCATTGTTGATTTCCTGGTTATGAGGACATAATTCTGACAGGTTTGATAAGTACGTTTATTTTAGAATAGATAATTTTTCTTACAGTTCTATTTCTGCTTGGTTTTTATCAGAATACTATATGCAAATATGTCATATATATTCGTAATATGCGCAAATATGTCAGTTATGCAAGAGTTTACTTTAAATGATGCGTTTCTGAACTGCAACTTATACTGAATTCTACCGATAATAGCTTCAAATTTTAAAATATGCTTGCCACTTTTGGGATCTTTTCAATTTAAAAAAGAATCTTTTCAGCTCGATCAGCCAATAGGCCGTCGAGAAGGACGCCTTCTGACCATCGCTGCCAGGGAAGGAGGAGCCAGAGCGACTTTACTTTTCAACGATCGAAATCCACCCCCTTTCGAAGACGTACTTCGGGATTTCGGCCGGGCTTTGGGACTGGGCCATGTCCACAAGATGTCCACACCTTCCGGACGACAAGTAAGAGCTCACCAACAGAGTTATATTAGAATGCCTTTTATCAAAACTAATAAGGTTGGAAAATTTTTGGATAACACGTAGTTAAGTTTATTTTCAAAATAAATAGACATAATAATCTATTTTTACAGATCTCATTTTCGACAATAACACCATTTCTTAACAAATTTAGAATGAAATGAGCATCTACTATAAACTTTTTTATTTAAGTTAAAGAAGGAGAATAATACACTAAGATTCTCAGTAGTGTATTTCTCAGTTACTGTAGAAAGTGACGAATCTTAAGAACTAGTCAGCGAATAATCATTTAAGTTCGTGTAACAAGAAACAACAAGATGGAAGGATAACTAACCCTTTATTATTCCAATAAGATTTAACAAAACTCCGCCTTGGAGTGTACAATCAAAGCCGAAACTTGGGCTTGAACTTAAGAGACTAAGAAATAAACTAAAACTAAGGTTAACTAAAGAGGTATAGCCGAAGCTATCAAGATTCTAATCGAGTTGGCCCCTTAACTCTATTTGACTACGAAGCTTATCAAGGGCTTGAGTACGGCCGAGCGTAATAACAGCTTTGAGAGAGAGTAGCCGAAGGCAAACGCGCGCTAATCAGAAACTTTGATTCTCTCTAACTCTGCAAGTAGACTTAGCGTTTAAATACCGCTCCTCCTCATTAAGTATTCAGAATGATTCCAAAACTACGTTCTCGCCGAAAATAGTAAGTTGAAGTTAAGAATTTGACAGGAAAGGAACTTAAAATTTAACTGTTAATAAAATTAACATAATCCTTACAACTCATCTGCAATTATAAAAAATGTGTGCAATGTCTCACAAAAATAAATGAAGATTTTCAATTTAGGAAAATAATGTCTATTTGGTTGAATGTATTTATGAAATTTTTATAAATACATTCAACCAGATAGATAAAACTTGGTTTTCTTTGAATCACGGGATTCAAAGAAATAATTTGAATACTAAAATTTACATAGTATTCTTTTTATACTAAACTTTTTTCTAAAAATAAAATATTGCATTTAAAAATTAACATTTTTCCTTTAAGAGCAGAAAGAACATGTATCATTTATTTATGATATTATTTTGTAATCAGGTAATAGGGGTAACACTAAAATATATTCCTTTTAAACTCTTGTATAAATTTAAACTCTGATATTAAACTGTTCCTGTAAATCTGCTTAGCTAACGATACTTCTTACAAAGTTATTCGTTTTGGACGTTTGCAAGTTAGTTTCTGAAGTATTTATGAGTTTCACTCACAAGCAAATTAGAATTATTAGTTTTAATATCTCTACATTTAAATAAATAACATCTTATACAGTCACTCCTGGCGATTTAGAGCTAAACCTAAATTTTATACAATTAAAAATAGTTTATAGTTGATAGCTGACAGCAGCCGAGGGCACGTGTGCTTTACCGTGGGGTCAACAGGTGCTGCTCGTCAACTGCAGATTTATGCGAGTTAAACAATTTTTCAAGATTTGAGACAACCAAGATTTGAGACAACAGTACATGTGTCTTGCATTTATGACGATGAAGTGCTTGTGATGAATTACTTTGATGAATATTTGCCTGGAATGTAATTTATAAGAGAATTTGCAAAAGGAAAACTAATGACTAATAAATTTTAAGGAAGTGAAAGACCTGAGGCAAAAGAACAAAAGAGGTGAAAACTGTTGACGTAATGAACTTATCAAAGACACATGACAAAATTAAACTGACTTGCCTTTTTGAGGATTATAATTTTACAAGAACAGGTTTCGCTCAAATACGGCACCTGATTGTTTCTTACCAACTAAGCACTTAAGTTCACGAACTCGCACTGTAAATGGGAATACTCGAACTAATGCAAATGGACGCTAACATTTTCCGGGCTAGCAGGGTGGCGTTTTTTCTAATGAGTTGTTGTCTGTATAGCGTTTAAATCTATCCTGAGCTTTTAATTTGCATAGCCTTGTGGGCAAAGCTAATACGTGTGACTTAATTAAACCGACGATAAGACAATATTCTTTGCCTTATCTTCGGTTTAACTTAAGATTAATTGCTAGTAAAAACTTAATAATATTATCAGGTTCTGCGTTCCTCCTTACTTGCTTTGGGAACATTAAATGTCCTGACTCGGAACAGGGAGCTTACTAAAGCTATGTTCAATAAATTTGGGAAATAGACAATACAAACAGGAAGGGTATACGAAACCCTTTATTTTTCTCTCTATACAATGATTTCCGGACTTCGGAATACAGAGACCAACCACTTGTGGTCTGAACGTAAGAATATAAAAATATTAACTAAACTCTAACTAAACTTAACTTTGGATTAATCAAACAAGTGCCTTCTCCAAGATTGGCCGTATATTAGCAAAAAGCCGTATGTAGTACAGAGAACTGCTAACACTACGATACGTTTAAAATTATCAAGAGGATTAAACCTCTGGCCTTGAAGGCAACCAGCAACCGAGTAAAACTACTATGGCAAGCGGCCTCCTTCTAATAGCTCCTTCGCCCACCAGCGGCCGAGCGCTCGCTCTCTCCGAGGTGCCCGCGCGAACGGCTTGGCTGCAATGGGTGTTTCGTGGTTTTCCCCCAAAGCAGCCTCCACGAAAGGCTTCCCTCCCTTTGGCAGATAGCCCTAGTGTGCTTTGCCGTAATTAAATACACCACACCACCTAATAGCTCCTTCCTCTCTCTTGCTTGGCAAAAAGCCACAACTTAAGTACTTGGCGTTCGCAAGACAAATTTGCATAAATAAGTTAAAGCTTTTAATTCTGGCCGAAAGTAGAAAATAAGAAGTGATAGTAAAGATTTAACATAAAATAAACATTAGTAAAACTTAAGATCCTTACATACTTCCCGCAGGAGTTAATTAGTTTGAAACTGAGGTCTAAAACGACCTTGTTGAAAACTTTTAGCTCTAGAATCTAACGCGAGGCCAATCTTTTACAAACATTTCTCACTAGAAACTAGAAATTTAAAAAAAAAAGTCGTTTTTACATTATCAACTCCATGGACAATTACTTTTCATCTGTACTGCATCTAAACAGGAGTTCTTAGTTGAAATCTGGTTCCTTCCAGAGATCTGGAAGGAAAACTAGTTTAATGAAATGTTACACAATTAAATGGCAAGTAACATGAATACTTATATTTCTCTTAACATTCTTATTTCATTCATGACGTTATTTAATTATCTCCCCGTGCTCTCTGACATGTGTTGTAAAGGAAAACACCAAACAGGAACGTGTACAAGTGTACACGTTTAGTGTGGGTACAAGTGTTCAACACTACCGCCTGCAATCAAAACACTAACGTGTTAAGAGTCAACATAACAAGACCTCATAACACACCTTATATTCATCTCTAAACCCTGAGGTACTATTCCGAAAGTGGCTAACTCTGAAGTGTAGCGTCAGAGAGCCTAACTGCATTCATTCAACCTTTAACACATATTCACAATACTTTTCTCTTTTTTTTTTCAGTCACACGAATAAGTTTAAAATTTTTGGCATTACTTTCACTTTTACCATATCACAGTATTTCTTAACGTTTAAAATAACAGTTCACATTGTATATAAGAACATATTAACATGCCGTTAATTTTACGCATTTTAAAAACATACATTAGTAGTACATTGTTAACTTCTATTCTTTTCCAAGCAAGTGCCAATTCTTCTACATTGAAATACTACATTTCAAAAGTCTTTCAGACTAAAACTTCTTTCTTGCCAGAATCTTTTAAATAAAATTTTATACAATAACTTTTACAATATTCAAGTATTTACACATTCCTATTATACATTAATTTTAGTTTTACTCGCGAGTAATTGAAAAACATAATACCAAAATAGGTAACAACTCATTTCTCGCCTTTTTGGCGATAAAGGTAGACCTCACATGAGGTAAAACGTCTTGAATTCTGCCACTTGCAGTAAGAATGAAAGATTAACTTAAGGTTTCAAAGTAACATAAAGTTTTACTTATCTTTGTGATATTCGGACATCCTTTTTTTCTGCCCAGTCCTGGAAGGTAGCGAAGACTACGGTTTGGTTTATCTTCCTTCTTGTGCGGGTTCGCCCTTCAGTTTCCTTCCTCCATGAGCTTTCTTTTCCTTCCAGTTTGGTCACCCTTGAAGACCTTCTTTTAGCCTCTGCCTGTGGTCTCGGCCGTTTGATGGCAGCTGGTCTTGGCAGAACCGGGACAACTCTCTCTCGTTCCTGCTTGGATCTCGTTGCTGGCTGTTCAAATTTTCCTTGTTTCTTTGCCTCCGCAGCTGGTGTTCCTTCATCAATTCGTCGACATTTGCTGCGTAGACTCCTATCCGATGGGTAGATCTTCCGTTTTGGAGCCGGGTTATAGTTGCCGTCATTTCTCCTGGCTCTCTTTGCATTCGTCGTACTTCTCCCTTCTTCATTCTGGGGGTGGTCGTGCTCTCTCTTTTCTGGTCGGTGGAACGGCTTCTTTTTCTTGTTACCTTCAATTTTCCAACGGGGAAACTTTCTTTTCAATTGCTCCTGCCTCCTAATGGCTTGCCCTTGTGATTGTCGTTGTTCCACCTCTGGAGCTTGTGCCTGCAGTGCCTGCCGTGCCGGATCCTGCAAAAGATCTTTAAATATTTGCATTTTATTCCGATTATAGAATGGTTTTATCTGGTCAATGTTTGCGGAGCATGTTTCACCATTCCTGGCTTTTAACACCACTACAGCGTGAGTTATTTTTTCTATGACATATGGTCCTTCAAATCGTGGAAAAAATTTGGCAGTTTTATCTTCTGGTGCTGAAGAAAGTGAATGCTTAATTTTTAACACTTCATCTCCTACTTTATAAGTTACTCTCCGTCGTTTCATATCATAATAAAGTTTCTGTTTTCTCTGTGCTACTTCAATGTTCTTTTTTGCTTCTTTAATTAATTTTTCTATATCGCCCATTTTAAATTCTGGGGCTCTTTGTTGAACATAAAATAATTTATCTAACGGCGTTATAATCTTTCTGCCTAAAA